ACTTTATTTATTATAGGGTGTGACAGATTCGCGGAGTGAAGGGGAGGATGAATCAGAAGCAGAGCCTGTCACAAACCATAAAATTCCCCATGAAAATAAGAAAAACCATTGATAAAAAATGTTCTGTTATAATAATGCTTCTAGATTCTAGCCATTAAACCTTTTTATTTTTTTTTACAAAATTATTATTACTGTGCAATAAACATTATTAACTTGAAAAATCTTTATTCCTTGGAAAACAAGACTCCTTCTGGTGGTGMCTTTCATTATTCAAACTTTTAATTAGCGTTATCCTCAGACTGGAACTAATTGCAAGGACTTGAAATCCCGTCCAGTCTGAATTGGGATGACTTCTCATACTCATTAATTATTTGGGAGGGAAAAAAAGCGAAGGAAACACATGTAACAGAAATATATTGACTTATTGCATCTCCACTAAGGTTTTCAGTTTTGGTTTTTGTTTGTTGTTCTTCAATTCCCTAACGGCTTTCTGAAACAAAAGCTTTGTCTGCTATTCATGGCATTCACAATGAGCCTAATTCATAAGATTTATAATTGAGTTATCTTCTGAGAAATTGCATCAGAAACTCGGTGGTGTAATGGTATAAGATGGCGCATATAGACTGGTACATAGACTGGTAGGGGATCAAGTCGTGAGGTAGTCATGTATCAAAGACGTTTTTTCACTAAATTAATGCTAAATCGACTATTTCTAATACTTTGATTATTATTAGCTAGTAGTAGATGGAAACATGGTAGAAGTAACTGGAAATATAATTGGAAATTAGGTAGAATACAAGTTAGGAGTACTTTCTCTGGTTTCAAGTTACTGCACGTGGTACAAATTACAATCAGGGATTGGCTGGATACCTCATGAATAATTAATGAGTATGAGAAACACATATAAAAGGTCTCTTATGTACATATTATACAGACAATAATTTAGAAAATTTTCAAAGACTTAAACTTAAAAGAGTATTTTAACTGTGAGTATGAAGATKTGAAGATACGTGCAACTTATTGCCTAACGAGATCAGTTTGCCTGAAATAACCTGAATTTTTGTGGTATTTATACGATGGCATTCATGAATACTAGTATGTACCTAAAATTGTAGACATAATAAGCTTTAATGTGTATATGAGAGGCCTTCTGTGTTATATATTTACATCTATATATGGAAGAGGGACGAGAAATCCTACTCCTCTACGTGCTGTTGTTAGAGCTCATATCTCCTCTTACTTTGCGCCAAAATCCTTTCAGAAAAATTTTGAGCATTATTGGCAATTTTTATTTGAACTCTTGAATTATTGTTTTATTGTTTAAAGAAAATTGGTCAAGTCCATGTTTTTTTGTTCTTTATCAAATTTCAGCAAAAAGCAGCTATTGTAGATCTTGGACTACCCATTCCTTGTGCTATTTTTAGGAAACCATTAATGCCTCGAGGGGAGGGGGGGACTCTCTAATATCAAAGGGCGGGGGTCCTTGATGTCCCTTTTAGGGTTTGAAATCGGTATTTTGGTCCTGTTTAGGGTATGACGAGAATTCCTACCGAGTTTTGTGCGGTTGGACCATGTTCCTCTAATTCCAAATTGTACTCAAGGTCATGCGATTTCCTATACAAATCTTTTCTTGCACTTTTTTTATATATATTTTTAAATGAAATATATTATTTTACAGTCAAGTTCATCTATTGATATAATTACAGAGAGCATTTTTTCTTGCACAACATCATTTAATTTCCAAGTTCTGCACATTTTTATTCTTTTTTGCTCTTTGAATATTGTCAAAACAACTGAAATTTATATTTAAATTAAAATTAGTCTTGGTAGTATTGTATGAGGTGTTAACGAGCTGCGCTTTTTCGGTCTTTTATAATGTCGACACGCGCTCTTAATGAAATTCGGATTACCTGTGTTGTTTTAAAAGTCACGATCCCCACACTCTGTGCTTTGATTGGATGATTACTGGAGGTGTGTCATTCCTTGCTACGTGTCATCCGTGTCACGCTATTCCTTGTTGACTATCCAACATGGCTGCAGCTAGGTGTGATGGAGAAATTCTCTGTCTTTTTGATGTAGATGGAACGGTTACTCCTTCTCGCTTGGTAATTAATCTTCATATTTTGAAGTTTTTTTGTTTGTTTTTGATTTGACTTGCACTTAATTTCACAAAACAGGTGATAAAACCCGAGATGAAAACATTAATGTCAAACCTCCGAAAAAAAGCGAAAGTTGGACTTGTTGGTGGTTCTGATTTTGTTAAATTACAGGAGCAAATGGGAGGGGATGATGGTGAGTATCAAACGATCTTTAGTACCTAAAAGGTTATCTCTGGTCGCTACATACAGCAAATCAAAGCTTATGAGTCACTTTCAACCGCTTCAAGTTCATAGTTGTTGAAATTACATATTTCAAATTGTTGTGCAAAGTTAAAATTCATTTGTAGATGTAACTTATGACACTTGTGTAATATCATGAATAAAATATWGTTTAAAAAGGCAAAAATTAATATATTACAGCTAGTGTGTCTTGATTGTGTACATGTATTTTGCCACGCTTCACTGTGAACTTTGATCCTTCGGCTTATGMAAAATATCAGAAAAGTTGCACAGAGAGTCTATTTGTTTTCCACCACGAAAAGGATCACTTGAGTCTTAGTCTGTAAAAGTTTTGTTGCTATTTTGAGTTAATTCAAAAGGTGCCCACTCCCCTGGCAAACCCTGGGCATTTGACTTTCCAAAAAAAGATTATTCACCAATCTCCACTTCTAATCTATGTCAGCGGTTTTAAATATTTGGCTTAGGCCCGTTTCAGACGTCGTTTGTCGAGTCTTATCTTTTATTGGTGGAGTTGAGTTGAGCATTTTATAATCTGAATTTATTGACATATTTAGTAGATTTTGTACAGTTGGAGGAACTTACTAAAATCCATAAATATCAATCGATGTAAGCTGCAAACTTCTTTAACTTGAATTTATAATAAAAAATTTAGTGATCAGATGATATGTAAGTATGTTGTATGTCTTTTCAGAAGTGACGTAAAAATAATGTTTTAACTTCCTAATTTTCAAACCCTTCTTTTCAGATTAGGAATGGGACTATGATGTGTATGTTGTTATATGTTAATCATGTATATGATTTGTTTTAGTGACCCATTTATATGACTATGTCTTCCCTGAGAATGGCTTGGTGGCATATAAAGATGGACAACTTTTGGCTGTTCAAGTAGGTCAACATGTTTGTTACAGTCAAACTACCTGAAGCGTGAACACGTAGAGATCATTAATGAATTCATTATTCCATTATTGATTTGATTTAGGATTCAAATATTCAATTTATTGAGTTTATTAGTCAACTTTTCCAAATTTTGAAAATGTGCAGTTATCACCCATGCACATATTATTTTCATTTATTCTATTCGTTTTTGCATGTTTGAATATTTTTCAATATTCAAAACTTCATTTGAACAATGAATATTTGAATTCAAGAATCAAATCAATAATGCAATATTGAACTCATTAATGATCACTAGGTGTTCATGCTTCAGGTAGTTTGACTGTAAATCCTCCTTGGTCTTGGGTCATTACCAGTCCTATTATTGCACTGACTATTGTGATTTTGGTGCCACTTGAATTTTTAACATTGACCATGAATAAAYACTGACAATAATATTTTTTAATATTGGACATTTTAACATTCAAAAAACTGCTGGTGCCTTGTTTTAAACTTGATKGAATTCGAAGMAATCAAAAAACTGATTCCATGACAAGGTAGAGSACACTAAAACTAGTATACATGTAGCTGCAGARTTTGAGGGTAATAGTCCACTTCGCGGATAATTCRAAATTTTACATTACGTCTTTATGGTAAATCATTGGCATCACTGGAAAGAGCGTCATAAAATCAGCAAATTTGCCAAGTTTGAAAATAATCTGATTTAAATTCAAAGAGATACGGCACTTTTAAACGCTGTATCTCCTTGAATTTTCATCGAATCATGCTCAAACCTGGTAAACATACTAATTTTATACTGTTCTTTCCAGTGGTGGTAATAGTTTTTTGATATTTGCTCAATTTCTAATAGCTGTGTTATCCATGAAGTGGACTATTGGATGAATAATTAGAGAGTGTATGGCAAGTGTTTAAGATTCAAACAAATAGTAACGAATATATGAAGGACGGTTTTGAGCAATGTCAAATTCTGTCTAGATTTTGCATAGAATTTCAGAGCAATTCTGGAATTTGGAGCAATATGACATTTTACAAATTTGTTATTGAAGGAAAGGCACAGACCTTGTGATGATGTGTGATGGCAGTCTAGGGGGCAGTGTGAACCCACTGAACCCTCCTTGATCTGCCACTGAATGTAGGTTTGGTGAATAATATCATTTTATGTTATCATAGAGTATAAAAAAGTACCTTGGTGAACAGAAAATTAAAGAGTTTGTGAATTTCTGTTTGAGATATATAGCTGATCTAGAGATTCCTGTTAAAAGGTAAAAGTCTGATTGCTTTCATTGACAAAATAATGCTTGAGAATTATTTCAGATTAAATGAATCAGTGTGCATTCATTAGATATATGAATCAATATCAAAACATCTAATTGCCCTATTTCATTATGACATCACAGCATATAATTTACATCAGAAGAGATGCTCAAAAACCTTAGAAATTTAGATCTTCTCTGAAAGTAGAACTTTGATGTAAATTGTGTTTTGATATATGCCATGTATCAAAGATTGCTCAGGTACATTATATTTGATATGTAGTCACTCTGGCAACTCTAAATCTCATTGTTAAACAATAAAATAGTTTGATGTGACATTGTAATGAAATATGGCAATTATCTGGTGACCATGAGAAGGAGGAGATGAGAGGAATCCTATTAAAACAATTTTTTTCTTAAATGATAATATTGATTTGATTAGAATGRTATTCTTTGCAGAGGAACTTTCATTGAATTTCGCAATGGTCTCATCAATGTWTGTCCCATTGGAAGGAATTGCTCTCAAGAAGAAAGAATAGCATTTAATGAATATGACAAGGTTGGTACCTGCCATATTCATCATAGCTTAGTAAAGTTACATGTTCAGCATCTTACAAAGTATATTGTTCATGATTAAAGGCTGTAAGAGAAAAAGTTGGACAGTAAATTCCCACTCAAATGCTATGATGGCTTATTGTTGGGGTTTGTTTTGCCCATTTTAAAATTTTGTAAAAGTTTCCAAAAACTAGGGAACGTTTGCAATGCACARTGCATGTACATGTAGCTATGTGGTCTTTTCTCATTCAATCTTTTCTACATGTACAGTGTCAATACCAGATGAGGTTTTGTGGAAGTGCTATGTTTGCCCTGTTAACTGTGCCATGTCATGCAATATCTGCTATTGTCCTAAAGCCACGTCAACTTGTTGCACAACATTGTTGCGGTTCAAGTTAACCTTCAGTGTTTCTTGTTTTTCATGGCTGGTTGTTGCCAGGGCTTAGGCAAAGTGTAAAATGAGAAACATTGACTTGAACTTTAAGAAACAAATTGAGGGTTTTTGTATCTTGTATCTCTCAGCCTATGTTTGTTAATGATTTGTTACCTACAGGAGCACAAAGTTAGGGAAACATTTGTGAATATTCTAAGAGAAAAGTTTAAGGATTTCAAGCTTCACTTCAGTATTGGTGGACAAATCAGTTTTGATGTGTTTCCTGAGGGATGGGATAAACGATATTGCCTTAACCATGTCATGAAAGAAAATTACAAAGAAATTCACTTCTTTGGCGACAAATGTTATCCGGTAAGAAGAATGAGTGAGGTTATTATATTTTAATATTTTTTATGGATTTCTGTACCAACGAAAGGTGACCATATACTAAGCACACTTGATTCCCTTGTGTCACATACTGTGAAATAGCAACCAGTCTTGTCATTGTCTGTATAAAGCCCTTAAATAGAGGGAAACATGAAAAGAAAACCTTCTTAACCACATCATAACATGAAGTGGTTTAGAGTGTTTGTGACTGGTATTCAAAGCACAACTGAACTTAATTTTTTTCAAATTCTAGGAAAATCTATCCTATTGAAATAGTAACTTAACGCAAAAAAGATTTTGAATTGGGCGAATTCCCGATATTTATCGTTAGTTTTAATTTCCCGCCAGTTCGGAAAAAGGCGCTCTCTTTGAAATCAGGGGCCTGGTGCGAATGTGACGCCTAGTAAGGAAACGTCTCTCACATTTCCGAAGGCTTTCAAAGTAAATGGTGGAGATTTTAAAGTATTCATTCCTGTTATGAACGCCTTTGAATTACAAGCTAACTTTTAGCAATTCTTAGGTTCCTTAGTAGACGTCACACTAGGGTCGACTCAGGCCCCTATGATAGTTCGCAGCCATTTCGGAATTATAAAAGGCACAAAAAAAAGTTTTATTTTTTTTCCATTGTGGTTTTATTCATCTTTGGAAAAAATTGAGTTCAGTTGCACTTTAAGATAAATATTACATAAGATGTGAACTTTGGTGATATAATTTGTTTTTCAWTTAACCAGGGAGGCAACGACTGGGAGCTTTATGAAGACTCACGTACCATTGGGCATAAAGTCACGTGTCCAGAAGATACCATGGTCCAAATTAAGCAGTTGTTTGGTCTTTAATGAAGACGTTTTTAGTTTAGTATTTGGAATTTTTATTGCAGATAGTTACATGTATAGCACAACATAATATCAGGCTGCTGTATACAAATTGTATACATTGTACATGATATTTAACTTGTATTGCCATTGATGTCGTTCTTAAAAACTGGCTTCCAGATGAAAAAGGTATRAACAGACTCCTCTGGCATGTTGATGAATCGCATGCTATTATGAAGGGAAGATTTATTGTAATCATTAAGGTGTATATTTAACAATTATTGCGACAAAAAATAAAAAATAAAATGTAAATCAAGTTTTTAGTGATAACTATCTTTTGGAACTGAAATTAATCCATGTCGAATCTCCATGGAGCAGGCGAACACCCATCCTCGGGAACCCAGGGTTAATATTCTGTCGTTCGTTCCTCACTCTTTCCCGAGGATGGCGGTCACCCTGTGGAATGACATTTTCACAGGATCCTCGTTATTTCGTCAATGGCGGATTGAAGGATAAGCGGCATAAAGCCCTGGGTTCTGAGCTACTTGGAGCTTTTGCTATTGATGCAGAGATGTATGCATTTTGGTCAAGCTTTCTCCCGATCACACGGAGCAAAGCGGCTCTAAACTCTCTCACCCGAAATGAATGGAGGGCTGGATTGATTGCAGAGTTGATGTAGATAATTGTCGTTGTTATATTAAGTGCTAGCTTATATTCCTTGGTTATTCCTACGACCAGGCGAGATGATAGKGTAAGCATATAAGGAAGGTAGCAAATAAACATAAGAATGTGCACATATCCGATGGTAAAGACCGATTTTAAGTACTTAGGAAGGTGAAATTCCTGGAGATTGGACGTGGTGTGGTTATGGGCGGTAGCTTGGCGGATTTGTCTCTTGTGTTTTCTAACAATGCTATTGATTTTCAAGAAAGTTAAAGATGACACTGTAAGACAGGTAATGACAATTACAATACCACAACCAATAGCTATAGAAACTTTCCATGGATAAAACGTTACTACTAAGCTACTGAAAACCCAAAGAAACATCAACACTATGAAGACCCTTCGAGARGTGACGACCGTAGCGTATCGTAGGTGCAGAAATAAAGCAAGATATCTGTCCACACAGATACAGGTGACGGTGATGAATGACATCCCCGAGAATAAGTTGGCGAACATGTTCACAAGCAAACCACTGTAGCAGGAGAAAGCTTGTATGCCCGACATCTCAGTTATCTTGTAAGCAGTATAAAGCGGTTGCACAAGTAGACCAACTGCAAGGTCAGTGATTGCGAGATTGCATAGAAGGAATGTTGATGGCTTGTGGAGGGTAGGAGTCTTGTATACTGCGTACAGCACGATTGAATTGCCGACAATTGCCACCATTGCAAATGCGCCGTTCAGAACACAATTTGCAATGTAGACGTTTGTCAAATATTCGATATACCACATGTTGCTCTTTACGTAAGGACAAGTTATGGGGTTATGCGTCGTTAGATTCATGTCACTATTAATGCTGGCTTCTTGTCTAAAGAGTGAAAAAAAAAGAAAAGAAGCAATCAACCAAATAAAACAGACATTGAACACTGTCAGCGCCGCCACCAGCCCCTTACTAAAATGCGCGTCGACTTTATGAAAAGAAAGCTTGTTATTGTTGTTGCCCATTCCTTTTTGAACAGCTAAAATGATGTAATGCATTTTCAAAATAGTTCGCGCACAACTGATTTTCTGTCGTGTTTGTTATTTTATAAGCATTTGGAGAGCAAATTGGAATTCGACTCTTCTTCGGTGACGTCACAAGATTAATTACAGAAATACCAAACAATGTAAAAAAATATTGTAGAATTGCCTGTGGTTACGGACGAACAAACAACGGCTGTCGTATCTTGTCGTATACGACGATCTCAGTGTTAACGTCACTACTTGATTTTCAATGCATTGTGGGATCACTGAGTTTCAAGGAAAACAAAAGAAAATCCGTCATGTTCYGTCCCAAAAGCTTTGGAGGTCTATTAGCATAACAATATAAAGTCATTTGACCCTTGTCGTTTGATCAGTTTCATCCATACGCGCCAAGACCGAAAAGGATCGTAATTTCAGTTAGTAGCTGCCGCAGATATTATCTGACACTTCTTGGGCTAGCTGGTGAGCTTTTTGGATGAGGAAAATACCGAAGAAGTGCTGATCAACTTGGCATGATCTCTTTCCGATATACAAAGTAACCAATCGTATTTGGACATCGTCCTTGATAGAGAGCAATTGATTATTCATTCTAACTCATTAATTATTCATGAGGTATCCAGCCAATCCCTGATTTTAATTTGTACAACGTGGAGTAACTGGAAACCAGAGGAAATACTCCTGTACCTGGTATCCAGATACTTCTAACTGACCCACCTTGTTTCCAGTTACTTCTACCTTATCTCCAGTTACTTCTACCTTTTTTCAAACTAATACTACAWGGACCGCGGAGGAGGGGGGGCTGGGGGGCTACAGCCCCACCAATAATTTTTCCGACATTTTGAATTTTCTTAAACAAAGAAGCGAAGACCCTCATGAAATTTCACCATATATATTCTATAAAAATTGTGTAAAAACTGAGCGTTAACAATTAAAATTGAAGCTTTTTTGCGAAGTCTTTGGGATTTATTGATAATATCGCTGACCGTGTRTGTGCGGTAAAATGTCTTTGATAACGCCTCGAAACGCTGGAAATGACATTTCCGAAAGTTAAGATTTCAAAAATTTCCGAACAGACCTAGTACCTCCTCGCCGCTAACCCCAATTTGGAGGACTTTGTACAATATGTTAATTTACCCGTAATACTTTTCGGTCTAGGCGGGTAGAGATGAACCCGTTCAACGACAACGTTTAGTCAAATGACTATATGTATTCCACTATGAAGTATGTAGCTATTTCAGAAGATCTTGAATCAGAAGGAGTGAAGACCGAAATGCATTGTTGGTCGTTCTAGCGATTTCGTAGTTTTAGAGCTAGTGTCTATTGCCGACTTTCATGACCGAGTAGGGAACTGGGTACAAGTTTTAAAATTGCACAAATCGGTGTGTGACCTACATAATCTGAAAGAGCAAATCTATATCAATAAAAAGGGAAAGTTTGGTGGAAATCGAGTCAATTTTTCAAAAATTATAGCCATTCAAAAACTCTCTTATTCAAGTGTACATCTATAGATTGTGGGGAATGCCAGGAGCCCATTACTAGGAGCCTTCCTCTTCTTCATAAGCTCTTGGMACGGCAWTWACCCCTCTTGGTGCTATTTTTAGAATTGCTCATTATAAATTCAGCGCAAAACAGCCAATCAGAAAGCGACTTGAACAATAGGTTTCTGAATGACCGACGGCCGCCGGTCGACCGCCGGTGAGGAAGATCTTAGTACTASAMTATTTCAAAATTCATTTTCAGGATGTTTAAAGTTACTTTTAGTAGAAATATGTCCCAAAAAAGGAAAGCAGAATCACCTTTCGCTTCATATTTAGCCGATGAGGAAGCCAGTGATAGAAAACAGGTGTAATTACTCGAATACAGGGGAAAATCTGGAGAAAAAACAACAACCCAACCTCGTCCCCAGGGCCATCTCGGCCGACTCCTTTTCAAGATGGCGGTCGTCGGGGAGATCAGGGCCATCTCGGCCGACTCCTTTTCAAGATGGCGGTCGTCGGGGAGATCAGGGCCATCTCGGCCGACTCCTTTTCAAGATGGCGGTCGTCGGGGAGAT